TGGCCCAGGATATGAGAAGGAATCTCAGTGGGGCATCTCCTTGTAAACACTTTTGTTATTACTCCACGCCAGCGCTGATTACACTGTGCCTGTTCCGCTGTGCTCTCTGACCCCCATCTGACAGCCATGGCGTCCTGTGAGACTCTCTCTCTCTGCCTGATGCGGTGTTAGAGGAGACAGAGGGGCAGCAAAAGCCACCTGCCAAATCTGAGGCGAATCTCGCATTTCCTGCCTTGTGGCGCAAAGGGGAAACTGGTTGAGATTCATCAGAAGAAAATATGCATAATTTGAGCTACAATGTGCACGTGTTCTATTAATGCTGTTGCATGTGACACTACCGTTCAAAAGTTTGGGGTCGGTAATTAAAAAAAAAATGAAAGAAAGTCTCTTGTGATTGACTGATTAAAAAACAAAAAAAACATCAAACATATGTTAAAAACAGTAATATTGTGAAATATTATTACAGTTTTAAATAACTATTTTCTGTTATAATATATTTATTATATTACTGTGATGGCAAAGCTGAAGTTTTAGCAGACGTTAATCCAGTCTTTATTGTCACATGACATTATTATCAGCTGTGCTGCTTAATATTTTTGTGGAATCTGAATTCTGTGAAAGCATATATATATTCTTCCTATTTGTGTATATATATATTCTTATGTGTGTGTATATATACACTACATATATATATATATATATATACATACATACATACATACTGTACACACACACACACACACACACACACACACACACACAGTAGGAATTATTCTTTCTTCTGTCAATTTAATGTATCCCTGCTAAATAAAAGTATTAATTTCTATCAATCAAATCAAATAAAAAAAATCTAACAAAAAATAAAATAAAATAAAATATAAAATAAATAAAATAAACTTTAAAGGGTACTTTATAATACTGGCATTCAAAACTGGCTACTGTAAGCACATAAAGTGGGTCATTAAATAACATTAATAACATTAAATAACATTAAAGGTCTAAATCCCACTTTTTATATCACTAGTAAAAATGCTTCTATTTTTATAAATGATTTTAAACCAATTTCAGAATGTTTAAGCATTTGCTCTTTTCACTTCCAATGACTGCAGCATTGTATTACAAAGAATGATCTATGTCACAAAAAATAGTACATTCATGCAAAAGAACAGCACATTAATGCAATTTTGAATTGATTTGTTTTTTCAACATGTCCCCCCCCCCCTCAAAATCATAAAAATGAATATTTCCAAGTTCAAATTATATTTTAAATCCCATTTTTGACTTTTGGACTTCGCTGTATTAACCTTTTTTGACATTTGGACTTATTCCAGTGTTCTTAGATTTATAACTTGTTACATTTCTAATCAGTTAGACCAAAGTCATTTCTAAAGTAAGCCTCTTCAGTGACATATAAGTACAGACTCTGTCTATTTCTTTTGGGAAAGAACTGTTTGTCAAGATCACTGTATATTTAATTAATGTCAAATCGGCAAAAGAAATCTGATAAACAACTTCCTGTCCATTTTACACTTAAACCTGGCTTTAAAAACGAGGCGATGCCTTTGAAAATAAGAAAACAGGCTCTTATAATTGAAAGCCTCCATTTCCTACAGTCATCATTTCCTCTCATTCATTTTGAAATGTCTGTCCTGCATTGTATAATGTCTCTGTATTATCAGGAATCCTAGTTCATTTGTAGTACCTTTGGACTTATTCCCAGCTTGTGCCAGAGATGCATTCAGTTTAAAATCCCAAATGGCGAAAACACCGCTATACAGCTCTTCAGTGAACCAACACAGCAAAGTTCCCTCTTAATGATCAGCCAAGAGAATTAATGAGACTTAAGTTACCTTTTACAGCAGTCGAGAGACAAGAATTAATATTCCTCTCTCTCTCTCTGCTTTTCTCTCATGTGGTTCATTGGTATGCTGCTCTATGGTGGAGTTGCTCAAGCCGTTAATGACGTGATGAATAATGGATGCCACAGCTCAATAAAACATTTGGCTTGATTTAGCCCAGATGCAGTTTTAGTGCACAGTGGTTTGATCCAACGATATGTGGTTCCTGATCTGAAAACCAGTTGTACAAGTGATACATCTCACAGTCCGGTGCTGCTCAAACAAAATCTCAAAGGTTTCTGCGCATACATAAACGCAGTGGACGGAGATGAAATTGATCGGATATCTCAGAGAATGACCCTCTCTGTAGGAAATGATAAACCAATTTGTTCACATTTAAATCTTAAGGTAATCCCATTATTCAAGGTGTCTTTGATAAAGGATTATTGCTCACTTTTCCGACAACTAAAGTGGGATCTTTATGGAGTGCATTCAGTTAAAGCATGTAAAAATGTATCTACCACAACAGTGTTTAATGCTTTTACTATGGTAGTTTCTTTGATCAGATGTGAGAGTTTATCATGGGGTCATTTTGTGTCAAACTGTTTCAATTAAAGTTTTAAAGGAGGGCAATTCATTTTTAATGCTTCTCGTTCAAGCTCTTGCTAAACGCTGTCTCAATGCTTCACACCAAATGCACTGTCTTTCTTGCTTTCAAATTATGATCAATGTTGGTGCATCTAAATGCCATGATAGATAGTTAGATAAAAAAAAACCTGGAAAAGAACCTGCTGAGAAATGGAACTGCTTGAAAAAATGTTAAGCTTTGATTTGAGCTTCTTGTATTTTTGTCTCCACACTATCTATAATAGTTAAAAAAACATTCATCCTCTTATTTAAAACTTTTCATTAACAAAAAGTATGGTATTACTTTTAAAAAAAGATATATCACCATCCTAATACCATACTTTTTGTGCCATAATAATTTGTATTTGGGTGAGGTACATGGTAATCATAGCATTTTTATATACTGTATCAAAATACCATGGTTGTGTTTAGCATGAAGTTCCTCAATGTAACAGTTTTTAAACGCAATTTTATTTTTTAAATGTAATTTAATGCAGTTTATTTTTTTATGTAATTTATGTTATAATTTTGTAGATATCAAAATATCACAATATTACCATCTGACACAATCACTGTACCATGGTAAAGTATTTTTCTAATGTTTTGATTATAAAGGTGTCGTTTAGCATGACAATTTTTTTAATTATTTTAATTTATGCGATTTTTAAAAACAATTTAAAATGATAAATGACTCATTTTGTCAGCCTCAGCAAGTGATGAGACATTTTACATTCACTCGATTGGTTGGCTCCGCCCACACTGGACCAAAACCCCACTCCTCATGAATATTAAATATTAAACATGTTTGAGGAGAGCATGCCCGTAGCCAGTAATGAGGCCATCGAGCTCCAGAGCTCGGAAAATTTTTCATTGTCAGAAATAAAACTTGTTCTCTGAATGACTAATTTGTTGTTTAAAACAAATTTGAGTGTCTGCATGTATAATTAAGTGTAGACAGTTTGCAAGAACTCTTAGCGTCTGTAGTATGAAGATAATCGCTGCGAGAGCTGGCGGAGTGAACGAGGCTTGAGAGAGCTGTGAGTGAGAGCCAGAGCCAGCTAATACCAGCCTATTTGGACATGTCTACCGTATATTTCCCCCCCCCCCCCCCCCCTCATAGCAATATCTGGCAACACTGCATTGCCGGCACTTAAACTGACGGCAATCAAAAAAGCCCATGGATAGGTAATTGCTGACAGGATATCACATTCGGTAGGCAAAAATAAAACATCCAAAAACGGTAGCATTTAACACTATTACACAGATCTGTAGAACAAAGGTTACAGAATGAATGAAATATGCAAACAGCCATGAAGAAGCTATGCTATTTCATTCAGTGTAGGCCTATTAGTTAAATTTCCACAAAGTCATGCTAAAAACTTTCATAAGAGCATTAGACAAAGTTATCGTCTATATTGCAATGGTTATTAATGAAAACTATAACAGTAATATGTATTGTTGCATGAATAATAAACAACTGATAAAATTATCCATTCCTAACCTATAGTAAAGTATTAACACATTTTGATGCAATAACTATGGTATAATTTAACAGTGTTCATCCCTCCAAAACAGAGAAAACAAATAATATTTCACAAACATCTACATGCTTCTCTTTTAAAGTGTTTAGTGTATATAATGAGTTGTATTTGTAGGGGTCATTATAGCGCAGTTCTTAACCCCACCCCAGACCTCACTCATTTTCAAATATGGAGGAGAGGACTGATTGTGAAAGAAACATATTGACAAAAAACATGAAAGGGAAACCATAAAAAAGGTCTGAGGTCTGATAAAATGCTATCTGAGGAAGCTTGTAAAATTGTGACAGGACGTGATATTAGAAAGAATATTTAATGTAAAACTGAAAGAATCAGCTGAATACCACTAAATATATTTTGTTTATCTTTGGATCCTGATAATTCCCAGTTTTACCAAAAGCAGCACAGAGAGAGATACCGAGGTAATAGTCAAAGCTTTATTTGCCACAGCAATCCTACCAGCCGTGAGCATGAATTTTGCTTCTATGTTATCAAGGTAACCACCTTGAGTT